CATTTGCATTTGAAAAGACATGCAGACCAATTCAGAAGTTCTGGGAGAACAGCAGAAAGAAAGCAGATTAATTGCCTTTTTGAGTTTCAAGCAAGCTGCTTGCCTTGGAGACATCAAAACAAGAAAACTCTACCCATTAGAGAAAACCCCCTTTAGGACCGAACCTGTGAGTCATCTAGTATGCATGCTGTGGACTACCTGGGTCTACCTGAGAGTACAATTGGGAGAAATGCAGAAGTAAAGACATAGGCTGAGTTTGGACGCGTTCTAGTGGCACTCTTTGATCTTGAGATGACAGAGAGCTATGGAAGGGCTGGCTAGTCTGAAGTTTGGGGAGTTATGTGAACTCCTGAGCCCATGGGCACTGACCGAGCCCCTGGGGACTGGACCTGAGAGTAAAGGGGCTAGCTGGTCTGAAGTGTAGGGGGAGGTGTGTATGAACTCCCAAACTTGCAGCTCATACCCATTTGACCTAGTTTAGATGGTAAGGACTGAGCTGACCAGAAGCTGACTAGATGAAGTCAAAGATGTTTGATACTGTGAGCAAGTATAAATTGCTACAATTTGATGGAGTGGACTTTTGCTTATGGATGCAGTTGCTCAAAGTTCCAATGGAATGGAAAATTCTTTATATCAAGGAACATGCTTGTCTCCTCAGTATACTGGGTTGTTGTTGTTGTTCTAAGTGCCCTTGATCAGTTCCGACTCATAGCCACTGTTTAAGGTTTCCAAAGAGTGACTGGTGAGCTTGAACCACCGACCTTGTGGTTCAAGTATAGGCAATTTAGACATTTGCTATAAAAACATAGGGGGGGTTGCAATAAAGTTGCTGCCTTACAAGCTTTCATGTGTGTGCTTGTTTCAGGATGATGGGAGTAAGGTAGAATTCCCACTGAATAGTTTTCCTCTTTTTCAGATGGGTATGGTGAAAGGGGGTGGGGGATGATGATGATGTTGTTGTTGTTAAGTACCATGGAGTCTGTTCTGACTCATAGCAACCCTGCACAGGGTTTCTGAGGCTGTAAATCTTTACAGGAGCAGAAAGCCTCATCTTTACAGGAGCAGAAAGCTGTGTGCTTACAGGCAGGAGGCTGGCTTGCAGAATGTGGGCTTTGGACATTTAAATTTATTTTTAATAGTTAAATGAATATATTTGTTTCATTGTGTATTTGTGCAGCAAATATTTTTCCTTTGTTCATTTCTGAAATATAAATATAAGATGTAAATGGGGCCAGTGTGTTTTTGGTTGTACTGTTTTAGTTGTATCATGTTAGATGCAAATATGACTTCACAATTTTCTTTATTTAGAGATTATGTATATGGCTTATATGTTCCATGTTGACAAGGGGTGAATTGTGATAGAGTTTTGTGTCAACTTAACTGGTTCAGGATTCCCAGTGGTTTGGCAGTTGAGATGTGTGGTTATCCCTTAATACAGACATAGTTAACATTATGATGATTGGCTACGAGCAGCCAATCAATTGAAAGCACATTTCCTTGGGAGTAGGGCCTCCTCCCAATATAATGGACAAGTGGGAAAGTCTTGCTCTTTTCTACTGATGACCTGAGACTACAATTGTGAGCCATTTCCTTCATATAAAGAGAAAGAGGGAGAGAGAGGAGAGAGGGAGGGAGGGAAAGAAAGAGAGAGAGAAAGAAAAAAGAATGAAAGAAAGAAGGAAGCCTGAGTCCTGGTGTGGCGCTGTGGGTTAATGCGTTGGACTGCAAAGTCTGTTTGAACTGCAAGGTCGGTGGTTCAAGCTCACCAGCTGCTCCTTGTAAACCCTATACAGTGTTGCTATGGGTCAGAACCGACGTACAGTACTTAACAATAATACACAAAAGGACTCCTTTATGTATGTATGGTGGTAGTGGTTATGTGCTGTGGAGTCAGTTCCGACTCATAGCGACCCTGTACAGGGTTTCCAAGGCTGTAAATCTTTATGGGAGCAGAAAACCTCATTTGTTCCCATGATACAGTGGAAGTTTCGAAATGCTGACCTTAAGGTTTGCAGCCCGATTCATAACCACTACGCTACCAGAGCTCCTTTTATGTGTGTGTGTGTGTGTGTGTGTGTGTGTGTGTGTGTATATATATATATATCCCGTTGTGCCATTTTAGGATAATCACTGGACTGCGGAGTTGATTTGAACTGTAAGACTGGTGGTTCAAACCCACCAACCGCTCCTCGTAAACTCTATGTTGTTGTTGTTGTTAAGTACTGTGGAGTTGGTTCCATCTCATAGTGACCCTGTACAGGGTTTCCAGGGCTGCAAATCTTTACGGGAGCAGAAAGCCTCATTTGTCTCGTGCGGAACAGCTGGTAGTTTCGAGCTGCCGACCTTGAGGTTAGCAGTGCGATTCGTAACCACTATGCTACCAGAGCTCCTTTCAGAAACATAGATTGGAAACTCTATACAGGATCTTTATGAGTCAGAACTGACTGAATGGCACTTAGCAACAATATATAATATGTTTCACTAGTTTTGCTAGCAAACTCAGTGTCATTCAATGGTACCTATAGGAACTGTTGCACTGGTATGTGTTTTGCTGTATATATATTCCACAACAACAAAATAAATTATTTTTCCAAAAGAAGTTACTCTCCCTATTACAATCACTTAGCTGGCATGCTTTAACTCTGCCATATTTCTTATAATTCCAACCAGTGTTAGACTTGGTGGCATGAGATAAAAAAAAAAAAATCACTGACATAGGAAGAGATAATTGTATACTATCGAAAGTTTCTCTGATGTTATCCCTTGCCAGTCAAGAATAGTCTCAAATTTCCAGTAATTCAGTATGATGTCTAACATAATCTTTAGTTTGCTGGATATTTAAATCTATGAAGAACTGTTTAAATGCAGTTGTCAAGTATAAAGCCACAATTATCATCCAAAGAACACTAACTTATAAATTATGCCAATAAACTATTATATGAGGCTGATATGTTTGAGAGCCTTATCAAGAAACAAAAACAAAACAAAAATCCAAAAACTATTGATGGCTTTCTAGGCTGTTTTCTAAATCTAGAGTCTTTCTGAAGTTGAAAAAAGAACCAGCAAAAAGAACCCCAGAGCTATCGGCTACAAACTCAGAGTTCAGGTGTAAATGAGTATTCCCATTTAAGTGGAAGCTAATAATCCATTCTGCCTGGGATCCCATCAAGTGCAAGTAGAAAATGGATATAAAGATGGATGTCACCGAGCCCACCGGACTCATTCTTAAAGGTAAGCCAAGCAGCAAAGGAAAGACGGTAGACCATCTGTCACAGCCTCTGGAACAAGAACACAGTTACGGAACTGTCGCCCCCAGTCAACAACAGTCCCTCCTATATTCCCACAGTTACTTTTCATTTCTCAGTGTGACACATGCAAAATCTTTCACATCCACACTTTTTCACACGACTCTCAATCAGGGATGGGATTTAAAATACAAAAGCTCACTGAGTTGAGAGAAACCATTGCCCCTAGGTATGCAAACACAAAAATTGGAAGTGAAAGTTACATCCGAGCTTTCAATAACAGTCACGCACGCACGCGCGCAGTCTCACTACTTCCTCACAGGGTCACAGCTGTTGGCTTTCCGCGTACCAGCATTGTGAGGCACAAAGTGGAAGCAGGCCGCGGCGCCCTCTGGGAACTGTAGTTCAACAAAGAATGCTCCGATGTAAAGCTCAGGATACCAAGTGCCACAGTCCCCGCCCAGCTCCATCCTTCCACGAGGAGGATTCTGGGAGGAGACATCGCGGGTCTCGGGTTGCGGCCCCAGATTATAGAGCTGCAGGCCGGGAGGGAGGTGAGTTGTGCCCAGCGGCAGGCAGGCAATAACAGGAGGTCAAGGCCAGGCTTGGGGCAGACGGGCAGGGAAAGGGAGACAGTGGATGCTGCCATGGATTTTGTGTGTGTGTGAGAGAGGGTGTCACCTTGTGTGGGCTCTATGTATAACTTTGTGAGGCTGTGGGTGTGACAGAATGTGATCTTCTGTGTGTCATGGCATGTCTGTGATTGTGCGTGACTGACAGCTTGATTCTGGGGTTGTTGTTGTTGTTAAGTGCCGTCAAGTGGATTCTGACCCATAGCGACCCTGGATAGGGATTCTGGGGAAAAACTGTATAAATATGTGTGTTTCTGACTGTCTCTGCAAGTATAGCTATGCTATTGTATATGGGTATGTCAGAGACTACGGTGTTACATTGTTTGTGTGTGTCACTGTGATTATGTTTGATGACCTGCTCTAATAGCAGGTGCGATTGGGTGTGATCCTGACTATTTCTGAAGGTCCTGGTGTGGCGCTATAGGATAAGCACTGGACTGCTAACTGAAAGGTCAACAGTTCAAACCCACAAGTTTACTCCTTGGGAACCTATAGGTTTGTTATAAGTTGGAATCAACTCGATGGCACTTAGCAACAAAACCAAAACTTTGATATGAGTTGTATGACAGAATGTGTGCTCTTGTAGGGTTTGTCACACTGTATGTGATTGTCACTGATATGTGTTTGTGTGTGATTATCTCTCTTTTGGAGTTATTTTGTATGAACATTTCCATATTTTTGTGTTGTAGCAATGTCTGTGAGAGACAGAATGAGACTCGGGTGTGACTGTAACACGTGTATGTGTGCAATTGAAAAGTAAGTGTATGCTAGATAGTAGGCTTGCTTGTGTGAGACCTACTGTGTGATTGTGATGCACAGAAAGATCAAGATTACTTGCCCAAGTTTACACAGTTAATAAGTGACAGAACAGGGACTTGAACCAAGGCAGTTTGGCTTCAAAGTCCTTGCTATTAATTACAGAGCTTCTTGATCCTAAAACACAGTGAGAGTGAAAACTGAGATCCTTGAATTGTCAAAGTGTTGGGATTGTTTCTGGTCTTGGACTAGGAATTTAAGAAACATATCACTTAGTGTAGGTCTTTTTCTTCAGGCTTCTTTAGAGGAATAGGATCCAATCAAAAAGACATTGTAGTGAGAGCATCCTCAAGTTGGCTGCCCCTAGAGATAGGTATGGGGGGGCGGGGGGGCGGGGCACAACACTAGTGAGGTATGCACACCCTAGAATGGTCAACCATTTGAGATCAAAAGTCCAAAGCTCAGAAAGGTTGGGTAAGAAGGAGGAATGGAAATGAGAAACACAGGGAGGAAGTGGGATTAGTTATGTTATGTGGAGGGCATTGCAATCACTGAGGTGAAACGAAGCATATGAATTGTTGAACGTAAAACTGATGATCTGCTCTGTGAACCTTCACTCAATTCACAATAAAAAGTTTTTGAAAAAAGAAAAAACGTTGGCTGTACCCGCAGAAGGGAAGCCCAGTCTTCCTCTGCTTTGGTCATTGATTTAGAGATTTTAGCTTTGTCCTTGCCAAAACTTTTCCATGTTTGGTACTAAGCGAAGCTAGATTTATAGCTCTATTTCTGATGAACAAAGTAAGCTAATTTTACTGGGCTAATTTTCTCAGTCAATAAAGGAAAATGTTCTCATTTCTCCCACTAAATAGTTGTGTAGAATCTAAATGGGAACAAGGGTGGCCCTTCTTAACAACACACAAAGAAAAGTTCGGAGTGATAACTTACCCATGGTCATTTAGCCAGGGAGAGGAGTGGAGAGCCAAGCTGGGCCAGAGGCCTTTAAGCCCTAGTCTTTTTATCACACTTTGCTCTAGAAGTTGATGGCTCATCTCACAAAGAAACATATTAGCCAAGGGACTTATAAATTTGTAGGCTATTTGTCAACAGAGACTTAAATTCTTTTATGCTTGTGCTATTTAGGGCTGCTGCTCCCAGATGCCCAGAAGACTGTACTGATTCTCGTCTCAGGTTGTGCAGACCATTGTGGACTGGTTCAAACTGCACTGAGCTGATGAAATAACTTCCCAGAGACAAAGTTGGCTAGTGCAAGCTAGCTTAGAATGAGATGCGCATGTATCCTGAACTCTAGGTCAGATGCAGTTATCCCCATTTCCAGAATGAAGAGTTGTTGACTCTGAATGGACAAGGACTTGTTTCAGGTTGCACAATTTGTTAATGACTTTGAATTAAATTTTGTTATATTTCCCTCAAACTGCATTTCTGTGGTGTAAAAAAGATAAGTGTCTGGCATCTCTGAAGATGCTTCTTAAAGTAATATATGACTCAGGTTTGGCTGAGTATTTCCCACTCAGACCTTGTGGCCTCTTTTTTTTTTAATGTTTTATTGTGAATTATGTGATAGTTTACATGGGAGAACATTAGTTTTACATTCATTCTATCGTATATCGTTTCATTGCCATGGTTACAATCCCCTCCATGCATCATCAACTAACTAAAGGGTATACCCTGCAAGCCTGTCCCCCACACCTCCCCAGTCTTCAGCACTCAGTCCCTTTCCCTCTCTGGATCTAAAGGCCCCAGCTGCTCCATCTCTCGACCTTGTGGCCTCTTGAAAGAGAACTCCTTTCGAGTCGCATCTCATTGGATGCTTGTAACTTTGGGCTAGTTGATTAAACTTTTTGAACCTCCATTTCACTTATTTGGAAAGTTGGTGATGTCTACCTTTGTGACAGGAGCTCTGGTAGTGTAGTGGTTACGAATCAGGCTGTGAACCTCACGGTCAGCAGTTCGAAACTACCAGCTGTTCCGTGGGAGAAAGATGAGGCTTTCTGCTCCCGTAAAGATTTACAGCCTCGGAAACCCTGTACAGGGTCGCTATGAGTCGGAACCAACTCCACGGCACATCACAATAACAACAACCTTTGTGAGAGATAGATGAAATAATGAAACACACAATATGTATAATATCACATATTTTATGGGGGGCCCAGTAAATTTACTTATTAATTTACCAACTTTTTTTGAGTACCAAACTTTTTTTTTTAATTATTATTATTGTTCTAACACTGCAGATAACACCAGTGAACCAAACAAATCCAAGATTTCTTGGATCTTAAGACCTTGTATGGGAAGATGAATGATAAATAGGAAAAATATGTAAAATATTGTAATACTAAAGAAGAAAGATAAATCAGGGTAAGGATTTATGTTTCTTTTGAGTAAACATAAAAGATTCGTTGGAAGGGAAGGTCTCTTTAGATAGAATGTTCAGGGAAACTTGTATGGCGTGACACTTGAGCACAGATTGGAATGAAAAGCGGGGGTAAATTAAGCTATGAAGAGAGGGCTCCAGTCGTGGTTGTCATTAGACAGGTTTGTGGATTGCACCAGGTGCCATTGTCAGAGGTGGTAACACCAAAATGACTGTCCACAAAATTTCTGTGCAGTGTTTCAGCAGAAATGTATTGTTTTTTATAAAAATATCTTAACATTTATTATTTTTTAAAAAGTTATTTGTAACAGCAAGAACATTTTTCATAAGCCCCACTTACATGTACTAGTATACCTACCAGGCTAAAACTAGGTTAAGTTACTTTAGAATTTTTTAATGCATAAGGGTCAGAGCTGCCATTATTACCCAATTACAATTCCACTTTGGATCATGTGGTTTCATTTGCAAGCACTTAAAAACATGCGCTGTTGTTGTAGTTACTGTTAGTGTTTTTATAGTTGGTGATTTTGTCACATTTTCTGGTATTTTATTGACAGTATTATAGTGAGTAGTATTTGTGAACTTATATCAATAACTTTTTTTGAGATTGAAGTAGTAATTAAGTGAAAAGAAGGAGAAAACTCAAAAGAGGTTGTTCAGTTTCTAAAAATGTAACTAACTAACGATGTTGTAATCCAGTGAAGAAAGATTCTATAAAATAACCTTGTTATCACTATTTGTTGTTGTTAAGTGCTGTCAAGTCGATTCCGACCCATAATGACCCTCTACAGGGTTTCTGAGGCTGTATGTAAATCTTTACGGGAGCAGAAAGCCTCATCTTTCTCCCGCGGAGCAGCTGGTAGTTTCGAACTGCTGATCTTAAGGTTTGTAGCCCAATTCATAAGCACTACACTACCAGACTATTAGTATAATCTAATAAATATTTCATTTAAGTAATTTAGAACTATATCACATATTATTTTATGGTTAAAATTGATTGCAAACTTATATGTACCACAGTTAATCATTTAAAAATTCGGATAGCTAAATGGAGACATCAAATGACAATTTAAGAGTAATATTACGACTTCTGGTGTGGTACTGTAGGATCAGCCCTGGACTGCGAAACCACAAAATCAACAGTTCAAACCTACCAGCTGCTCCTTGGAAACCCTATGTAGGGTCGCTATGAGTCAGCACCTATCCTGTGTACCTAGAGTAGAGTAACCAAAGGAGTGAGTGCTGAAGAAATGAAGTTAAAAAGGAAGCCTTCTTGGCCATCGAATGAACTTTAGATTTTGTTGAGTTCAGCCTGTATGTCCTTAATGGTATTCAAGATTTCAGGGGTTAAGTTAAGCTTTGAGCATTTTTCAGATCTTGGAAGGCCCACGTAATAAGATATGAACTCCGTAAAAGGGGGAATAGTTCTAGCTTTGTCAGTTTCCGACCAGCAGAATAGGCTGATCTGTCATTTATTCTTCCTTAATTCTCCTTCTCAGGATTTTGTTCTTCTACAAAAGAGAATACTGAAGAAGGAAGAAGAAATGGCTGTTGGACTTTGTAAAGCCATGTCCCAAGTAAGTTGATATTTCCATTTTGTTTCCAGAAATTCCTCCTAATTTTTCAGAACTTTGAGGCCATAGGGAGAACCACAGTTAGCCCAGTGAGTACCTTCTCCACGTCTCTCTCTCCACCTTTTGTTCAGATTACCTTTCTATAAAACATTTAGCATGTTTTTTACTTAGTGTTATACTTAAATGTGTAATGGAACATGTAATGGAACAGAAGTGTCTTCTGTTAGATAGATTGTGGTTTGTTTGTTGTACAAGTGAAATAAGGGCATAGGGTACTTGTGGAGTACCCTTATGGAAAGGTCAAGGACAGCCTCTGAGGAAATGACATTTAAATGGAGACCTCAGGGAAAAGGATTAAGTTTTGTGGACATCTGGGGACAAGCTTTAAAAGTAGGAGGCATACGAAAACTGGGGGGAGGAGGGGGAAGTGTAGAGGGTGGGTTTCTGGGATATACCCTTTGGGTGGTTGATGATGCATGGAGGGGATTGGAACCATGGCACTGAGATGATATACAATGGAATATATGTAAAACTAAAGTTCTCCCATGTAAACTATCATATAATTCACAATAAAACATTAAAAAAAAAAAAAAGTAGGAGGCATATCAAGTATAGAGTTACTAAGGTGAGGGCTAAGACTCATAAGCCAGAGACTTATGAGCACTGTGATGTCAGAGGCATATCTAGGGGCCAAATAATGTAAAGTCATTAAAAGAACTTTGAATTTTGTTCAAAGTGTGAAAGGGAGCCATTGAAGTGTTTATGTTTTATAAGGAGGGTGCATTTTAAAAGGGTGGAATAAGAGAGGCCAGTCTGAAGATTATGCCAGAGAGACCAGTTTGAGGCCAGCACTCAGATGGGAGGTGATAGTGTCTTGAACCCTGTGATGGCATTGGAACTGCTAAGATTCTCAGGATGTATGAGAGCCAGAAATCATGGAATTTGATTGTGTTCTGGGGAGAAAGAAGGAAGTCAAGAATTGTAAAGATTTTGGCCTAGGCAACTACATAAATGGTGATGACATTTACTGTGATGGGAAAACAGAGTTGGATTGGGAATAGAGATTATGAATTGAGTTATAGATATATTAAGTTTAAGAGATTTGTTGGATATCCAAATAGAATGCTTATATATATCTGGAGTTCAGAGGTTAGATCAAGATTGTACAGGTGAATTTGGGAGTCGTCATATATTTATAAAGCCATAGGATAGTATAAGTTGTTACTAGTATTATTATTCTAGTAAAAATAAATAAAACATTTGCCAATTCAACATTCTTTGCATATATAATTCAATGATACTGGCTTTGTTCATCATGTTGTTCAACCATCCCCAATATCTTTTTCTAGATTATCCTACCACCTTTAGTAGAAAATCAGTGCCCATGAAGGTAGTACTTCCTCTTCCCTCCCACCCCTGGTGACCACTAATGATGTCGTCTGTTTATATTTGCCAATTTCATATAAGTGGGATCCTATAACATTTGTCCTTTTGTGACTGATGTATGCCAGACAGCATCATGTTTTAAGCACTCATCCATGTTGTAGCATACATCAGGATTTCATTTCTCATGATTAATATTCCATTATTTAAGGGTAAGTCAAAAAGTATTACTACAGAATCATGTTGTTTTTGTTAGGTGCCATCAAGTCAGTTCTAACTCATAGTGACCCCTCCCTAGGCAAAGCAGTATAAAACACTGCCTGGTCTAGTGTCATCCTCACAATTGTTGTTATGCTTGAGCCCATTGCTACAGCCACTGTGTCATTCCACCTCACTGGGTGTCTTCCTCGTTTTCACTGACCATTCAATGTCCTTCTCCAAGAACTGGACTCTCCTGATAACATGTCCTAAATATGAGAGATGAAATCTGCCATCCTGGCTTCTAATGAGCATTCTGCTGTACTTCCTGCAACACAGATTTCTTCTGGCTGTCCATGGTACTTTCACTATACTTCTCCAACACGATAACTCAAATTCATTCATTTTTCTAGGGTCTTCCTTATTCATTGTCCAACTTCAACATGCATACGGGGCTGTTGAAAGTACCATGCCTTGGGTCAGGCACACATTAGTCCTCAAACTGATATCTTTGCTCTTGAACATTTTAAAGAGGTCTTGTGCAGCAGATTTGCCTAATACATCACTTGATTTCTTGCCTGCTATTTACTTAAGTGTTGATAGTTAAGCCAAGCAAAATGAAGTCTTTGAGAACTTCAGTCTTTTCTCCATTATCATGATGTTATTTATTGGTCCAGTGGTGAGGATTTTTGTTTTCTTTACATTGAGGTACAATCCCTTCTGAAGGCTGTCTTTAATCTTCATCAGACTGAAAAGTTAATCACTCCCCTCCTTGCTATAAAATGTCTACCTTTACATTTCCAACCCTCACAATCAGTCCTGATAACAATTATTCACTATTGTATCACAAAAGACCTATCTGCATTTCATTTCATCAGCCCCACCCAGACAGATTGGATACTACTCACTGGAGATTCTACCTTCCCCCATGCCCTCTGGATCTAGGCTCCCTCTTGAAAGCTTGTAAGCCAGTCATTTCTTGCCTTTGTAGGTCCCCCTCCCCCATTTTGGGTAGCCAATGTCCAAGTTGCCCATCCCTGTCTACTCTGTTTGTGGAGGGGGTGGGAATGATCCATGCTGTAAGGATTTGTTTCCTCTTTTGAGCTACTGCATCCATAGGTGTAGGTCAAGTTCATCAAAATTGTATCAGATTATGTTTTTTTTTTTTTCCTCTTCTATCTTCTTCTGGTTGAGCTCTGATCATCCAGTCATTGAAGCCAGGTCAAGTGGGTATTATCTGCACATATGGGTGTTCTTGTGCATATGACCCTGGCCTATTTTTGACTGATGATATTGAGCTTCTCCATTGTCTCTTCCTACAGATGTAGTCAGTTTTATTCCTGTGTATTCCATCTGGTGAGGTCCATGTGCATGATCACCATTTATGTTGTTGAAATAAAGTGTTTGTAATGAAGACGTTGTTGGTCTTGCAAAATTCTATCACACAATCTCTAGCATTTTTATCACCAAGGCCATATTTCCTAACTACTGATCTTTTCCTCTTTGTTTCCAACTTTTGAATTCATAAGTAATTATCAATACATTTTGATTGCATGTTTGATCAATTTCAAACTGAAGAAGTTGGTACAGTTCTTCAGTTTCATCTTTGGCTTTTGTGGTTGGTGCTTAAATTTGAATAATAGTATTAACGAGTTTTCCTTGAGGTGTATAGATATCATCAGATATTATCCTGTCACAGACAGCAATTTATTGCAAGACAGATCTTGAAATGGTCTTTTTGATGATGAATACAAAGCTGTTTCTCTTCCATTTGTCTTCCCCAGCATAGTAAACCATAGTATTGTGTGATTCAAAATGGCCAGTACCAGCCATTTAAGCTCACTAATGTCTAGGATATCAATCTTTATGAGTTCCATTTCATTTTGATAACACTAATTTCTCTAGATTAATACCCCATACATTCCACTTTCCAGTTATCAATGGATATTTGCAGCTGCATCTTCTCATTTTGAGTGTGTCCCATCAGCAAATGAAGGTCCCAAAAGCTTTGCTCCATCCACACCATTACAGTTGAGTCTTCTTTGAAGACTCAGCTTCTCCTCAGTCATATTTTGAATGCCTTCCAACCTGAGGCACTCAGTTAATATTTTTCAGCTGTTCATAAGGTTTTCAGGGACTGATTCTTCAGAAATGAACCACTTATTTATTCCCTTATTCTCTTCTCAGTCAGAAGCTCCACTGAAACTTGACCACCATGGTGATCCTGCTGGTATTTGAGACATCAGTGGTCTAGCTTCCAGCGACTCAGCAGCACATAGACCACCACAGTACAACCAACTGACAGACATGTGGGGGGAAGGAAATTTATGGATTTATTTTTAAGATGGAAGCTATTATATCCATTTATAGGTTGACAGGAATAATCTAATAAAATGAGAAATATGTTGGTTCAGCATATGTTCTAGCAAGAAATTACAAATGGGACTATTTGCAAGATGTGATCAGGATATAGGGAAAACCATAAAGGATGATACTGGACTTATAACAATATAAACAATATGATCTGGGCTTATAACAGCAGAACTCTTAATAATTCGGTGTCTGAACACAGTGACCGAGAGACCAAGGTGCAGGGGGTCCTCTTACTGTCAGTGTGATCTTTGAGGGGGATAGTGACCACCCAGAGTGACACAGCAGGGAGGGAGCCAAGGGAATAAAGATTGTGCCTCCCTTCCTATCTCTAGCCTGTGAATGACCCAACTGAAATTAGTGTGAGGAAAGGGAGTCTAATGATGCAGTCAGTACACATCAGTCTCCCAGCACACAGACAAGGATACAGGGACACATGGATGTTTTATAATACTACTTAGCTCTGTCATTTCCCCCACCTCCAGCCAGCTCCATTAGGCTATATCTCTACTATATCAAGTAATTGTATTTTATTATTTTTACCAAAAAAGACCATGTCCTACAAACTGGAATTTATTGTTTTAAACATTGAGTGCTGTAGGATGAGCACTGGGCTGTAAAGTTGGTTTGAACTTCAAGGTCGGTTGTTCAAATCCACCAGCCACTTCTTGGAAACCCTATACGGGGTCATTATGAGTTGGAACCAACTCAGTGGCACTTAACACCACCAACAACAACTCTTCCTTCATTTAGATATATTATTGGAGTGTTTATAATTTATTCATCGAGTGGTAAATATTTGCTGTATTTTTACTATGTAACAGGTTTTATGAATATTAGTTTATAAAACAGATGCGCTTTCCTTCATGAAGCACAGAGTTCAGTGGTATAGTTTAAACTCCTTCATTTTTAAACTGGCAAGGTTTTTTCTATTTTCCAATGAAAATTCTATTTAATTCTCTTCATATATACGTCTTTATTCAGGATACATATTTGGAGCTTTATTCTTACAATTAGTTAAAACTCAGTTAAAAGCCTTCTTCCACCACAGTGCACTGCATACATCCCAGTTTTAGGATCTGAAGGAATTCCTTGTATAAGAATTTCTTTATATTCTGTGTATATAACAGTCCTTGGTCATATGCTATTTCATGTTATAAACTAATTTTTCTCTTTTATAAAAATTTTAATATTTCAAGGGTTGAGTCTGTTTTCAGTATTTCACTTTTAAAAGCATTTGATAAACTGGACACATAATTGTTTCCTAATAATTAGGTTCTTGGGGTTGCTTAGAATTCTGACAGAATTTGTCTTGTTTGCTAGAAGCATATGGAGCTTGGGTGCTGGGAGAAAACAATATATTTTTTAATTTTAGGGAGTGGTGACCTTCAGGGATGTGGCTGTAGACTTTTCCCAAGAGGAGTGGGACTGGCTAAACCTATCGCAGAGGGATTTATACAGAGATGTCATGCTGGAGAACTACAGGAACTTGGTATGGCTTGGTAAGCATGTCTCTCCCCTCGAATTCAAAGTCTTCCCTTGGGTGTTTTTTCCTTCCATTGGGAATGTCTAGGACATATCTAAAGTGCTTAGCTGAATTTCTACTTCCTCTTCCCAGGAGTCCTGGTGTGGCGCTGTCGAATAATGCACTGGACCACAAGGTTCATTTGAACCACAAGGTTGGAGGTTCAACCACAAGGTTGGAGGTTCAAAGCCGCTCCTTGGAAACCTTAAATAGGGTTTCTATGAGTCAGAACTGACTCAATGGCATTTAACAGTGATAACATTCCTAAGGATGGACTCCTAATATGGCACTGTGGGATCGGCATCAGCACTGGACTGCGAACCACAGGGTCAGCTGCTTCTTGGAAACTCTATGCAGAGTTGCTGTGAGTCGGAATCAACTTGATGGCAATTAGCAACAACAACAACAACAACATTCCCAGGAATGATTAGAGTAGTTTCATAAAGGTGGAAGTCAAGTCAGTAGCTCTCTTTTGCATGTAGATGTTTGGAAGTATCAGCATGATCTGGAACTTTTTAAAAAATGCAAATTATGGGGCCCCACTCTCTTGTCCTGGTGGGGTACTGTAGGCTAAGCACTGGACTGCAAGTTTGGGTTGAACCGCAAGGTCGGTGGTTCAAACTCAGCAGCTGCTCCTCGGAAACCCTATACTAGAGTGGCTATGAGTCAGAACCAACTCTCCATGGCACTTAACAACAACAACAACTCTCTAGATGAAATAAACAAAAACCTAGATTTAGAAAATCAAAACAGAAGAGTACAATAGGTATTTCTCAAGCTGAAAAAAAAAAAACTGAAGAGAAAATTCAAGATTTGAGTTGCATTATTGAAGGATTCTATTGTCAAAAATTGAATTTCACAGGAAGCTTTAAAAAAAAAAGATGCTTGATTGGCTTTAACCACTTAACCTGTAGGTAGCATAGAATCAAGAACCACTGGTACCGAAGGAAGAAGTTCAAACTGAACCTAAGTCAAAACAAAGCTGTAGGATTTGATGGAATAGCAGTTGATCCGCTTGTGCAAATTAATGTAACACTGGAAGCACTTTCTCATCATTGTCAAGAAATTTGGAATATAGTTGCCTGGCCAACTGATTGGAAGACAGCCATACTCTCAAATGGAATGCAGAAATAATTTAATAATATCACATGCTAACAAAATTTACAGAAGATGATTGAAACATAAGTGCAGCTGTACATTGACAAGGAATTCCAGAAGTTTAAGCTGGATTCAGAAAAAAGACATGAATGGATATTGTTGCTGATGTCAGATCTTGATCAAAAGCAGAGACTACCAGAAAGAAGTTTACCTGAGTTTTATTGACTACATAAAGCAATTCAACTGTGGTGATCATAACAAATTATGGATAGCATGAAGAATGGGAATTCTTGAACACTTAATTTTGTTCATGCAGAACCTGCACTGTATCAAGAAGCAGTCATTTGAACAGAAAAGGGATATTTTATAGTTTAAATTGGAAAAGGCACACAGCAGGATTGTGTCTTTTCACTATATTTCTTCAACCTGTTTATTGAACAAATTACTTGAGAAGGTAGACTATCCAACTAAGAATGTAGCATCAGGATTGAAGGAAGATTCATTAACAACCTCCAGTTATGCAAATGATAAAAACCTCTTTGTGGAAAATGAAAACAGCTTGGAGAACTTACAAAGCTTGGAGAAGGACAAAGACTACAGCTTTTCAGTATGATTACACTTTAACATCTAATGAAAATCTTCACAACTGCCCAATAAACAATCATCATAAATGTAGAAGAAATTGAAATTATCAAGGAGTTCATTCTATTGGATCAACAATAACACTCCTGAAAACAACAGTCAGGAAATCAAAGAACATATTACATCTACTGCAAAAGACACCTTTCAAGTTTTACAATGCAAAGATGTCATTTTAATGAGTAAGGTGCACCTGACCCAAGTGCACCTTAGTCTTTTCAATCATATCATATGCATACAAAAACTGGACAATGAAAAAGGAACATGAAGAATTGATGCATTGAATTCTAGTGTAGCACAGAATACTAAATGTACCAGAAAAACAAGTCACCCTTAGAAGAAATACTAGACTGTACCATAGAAGTGAGAATGGTAAGACTTCAGCTTGCTTACTTTGGACACATCATCAGGAAACATCAATTCCTAGAAAAGGACAACATGGTTGGTAGAGAGTCATCAAAAACTAGAGAAACTTTCAGTTAGATACATTGACACAATACCACAACAATTGACCCAACCAGGCATGCATGCTCTCATAGATAGTGCAGGATTGGATCACTTCTTTTTCTCTTATACATAAGCTTATCATACATCAGAGCTAATTCTACAGCAACTGATACCAACACTGTGTAGATCTACAGAACCAGAAACTTCTCATAAAAAGCCCAGCATTCTGCGTTTTGATAAACCTTCTTCAATATTTGGTGCCTGTTTGAGAACTACTCTTGTTTTCAATTTAGTAGGTCTGGGCAAAGGCCTCAGAATTGTGTTTCCAGGAAGTTCCTAGGTGATGGCTGCTGTTGGGTAGTGGACCACACTTTGAGAACTACTATGGAAGAAGATTCATCTTCCTTCATCCTCCCTATTATAAGCATCATTCCATTCACTGGCCCTTCCTCTAATATATTTTGTTGACTTATAACCAAGAGATTGGATCTTAGTCCTGGGATAGCTGTGACATGTTGATTTGTCTCTTTCTCTCTCTCTCTTGCTCTCATTTTTCCTCCCCTTTAAACAGGACTCTCTATTTCTAAACCCAACATGATCTCATTACTGGAACAAGGGAAGGAACCTTGGATGTTGGAGAGAGAGATGTCAGCTGGTCAATGTGCAGGTGAGTGACAGAGAACTGAGAAGGGAGGGCAGTTGGTAAGTGCCAATGTAGGTAGTCATGAGAGGCTGCCCTAGGCTTCAGAAGGCTACCCTGGAAAGACCTGAAATCTCTTTTGTATGAACTTTCCTGAAACCTTGCCCATACCCTTGGGTTTTATCTCCTGTTTCTATCAAATTATATTATTTAGAATTCTAACCATACCCTGAATCTTAATCTTCTCTAGCTCTTCTTTTTCCTTTATGGTCAGAACTGTATATGTGTGTGTGTGTGTGTATGTATGTATGTGTATATATATATATATATATGTACACACACATATATATATTTTTAAGGTTTTTATTGTGGATTGAGTGAAGAAGGTTTATAGGGCAGATCATCATTTTTACATTCAACAAATCATACACCTTGCTTCATTACAATGATTATAATCCCTTCTAGGTACCATCAGTTAACAGTATTTCTCTCTATACTTTAGCTTTTTTTTTTTTTTGAAAAAAACACTTCAGGCATATAAAATAATTTACACCCCCAAATGGCACATTCTGCAAGTCTGCCTCAATCCTCAGCCGCTCCCTCTCTCCATGACCCCATCTCTGCCTCAATCCCTAGCATCTCTGCTTCTCTGGATAAGGTCCCACATTCTGCTTGTGCTCTTCTTCCTTGATGGTCCTAGGGTCCTCTGTTTCTGGACTGTAAGCTTAACCACACCCCTGTTTTTGTTACAAAACTTCTACCTTTACAATTGTGACAATCGCAATTAGTCATGATAACAATTATTCACTATTGAATTATACACATCTTATCTCCATCTCTTTTTACCAGACCCATCTAGACATGATGAAAACTATTCAGTGGGGACTCATTCTTTCCCCTTATACTCTCAAACTAAGCTTCCTCTTGAAACCTTGTAAGCCAGTCACTGCATTCCTTTATCACCCCCTCATTTTAGGTGGCCAGTGTCTAAGTTGCCTGTCCCTATCTACCCTGTGTATAGAGGGGATAGCATTGATACTTGATGTGAAGATTCCTTCCCTCTCTTTGGGTATTTAGAATTACTACCTCCATGAGTAGAGGTCAGGTTCATCAAATTGTAGCAATTTACCCTTGTTTCCTTTATAAAAAAAAATAAAAATAATATATATATATATATATATATATGTTTTGTTTTGTTTTTGTTTTTTTGGTAATCTTCTTCTAGTTGGATTCTGATTATCAAGGCATCGAGGCTAGGTCAAATGGGTACTGTCTACAAGTTTGGGTGTTCTTGTGCATCTCCCATCACTTCCTATCAGCTGGATGCTTCACTCTCAGCTCTAACCCTCTGTGGCTATGTCCTTGTCTATGGGCTCAGGAGTCCCTAGGGCTCACCACACTTTGGAGCAATCAGCCCGTCCTCTTCTCTCTCTCATCTCCAGGTCAACAGAAGTCTATGGACCATGGTTGAACTAAGCCCATTTCCTCATTGCTGCCTTTCCCCCTTTTCCATTCACCAGTAGACCAATGTGGTCGCCAGCAAGCTTACATGGCTGTTCATGTGTTCCCTTTGAGTTTCAGTCTTAGAGGGGAGTTTATTCTGAAGGGACTTGATTGCTTGCCTTGAAGCTTCCTCATGAACAGCTTGCTTATTCTTGTAGTAGCCAGTCATGCTGACATTTTTGTTTTGGGTTTTTCCTGATGATCTTTCTTTGAAGATGTATCTTCTGTTGCTCTAGCTGTTCCAGGATAGTCTGCTTGTCCTTGCTAGTGGGACTGTCCCACCTCATAAGGTTCTGGATGGGACTTAGGATTCCACTTAAAGGTCCTATACTCTGCAAAGGCTTTGCACGAGGCCTATTTCACTGGGCACGTTCTAGAACCTCTTTTAGGTATTCCAATCAGTTATAGGATGAAGACGGGCTTACAAGTTTTCTGTAATCATGTTTTCCAACATTCCTTTCTATCCCACTCAAGTGTCTATTTTATCATAGTAGGCAAGGGAAACCAATATTCATAAGACAGTCAAGCATTTTAGTATTAATTCCCTTCTTCAAACTATGCCTAGATCCCTGTATCACAGAGCCCTGTTGTTCCAAGGTTGAGCATGCATCACTATTTACCTCTGTCCCACTTAGGCTATGCAAACCTGTCTCGGTGTTCCCCTGTCTATCTTGTTCTTCCACCTCCTCACCTGTCTTGTATTTCCCTCCCCAACACCTGAACTAAACACCCCACCCCAACCCCATTGTTGTGGTTACCTTATATTCTATTAACTCTTCCCTCCATCTAAGACAGTCTATTTTATCCTGTAAGCTCCCTGACCTTCCCACCACCTGGATCTCTGTTCCTCTGTGTTTACTTTCTTTCACATTGTAATTGTTTTGATCATAGACAGACTTTCCAGATCCTCTGTTCTTATCATTTTATTCTGTTCTTGACTCTTCCATTTGTCAGTTGAGTTCAGGGTGATGCTGCCATGTACATCATTCGCTGGTTGTTGTCTGTTCTTGTTGGTTCTCAGTCCACAAAACTGCCTTTAGGATGTTTTGCATTGCAGGGTTGGCTTTGGCAAAATCCCTTAGCTTCTATTTATCCTGGAATAAATAGATTATACATCATATTTGATTGACAGCTTTTCTGGGTAGAGGATTCTTGGTTGGCAGTTTTTTTTCTTTCAGGGTTTTATATATGTCACCCCATTGCCTTCTTGCCTGCATGGTTTCTGTTGAGAAATCTGAGCTTAATCTGATTTGCTTGCCTTTATATGTTATACTTCTCTTTACCCTAGCTGCTTTCAGAATTCTGTCCTTATCTTTGATTTAGTAGAGCTTGATTATTATATGTTTTGGTGATTGTCTTTTAGGGTCTCTCCTTCCGGAGGATTGTTGAACTTCTTGAATGCTTATTTTTTCATTTTTCAGGATGCTAGGGAAATTTTCTTCCTGAGTTCTGATTGAAACTGACTTGATATACATTAACTTGGGGTAAATAAGCATGCATATATAATTTTTTTTTCTTTTAGTGCACATGTATCTTATATTCTTGTTAATTTAAATGTCTAAAATAATTTCATAACATTTTATTGGAACTCTTTTGTGTTTTTGCACACCCTTCTCTCGTCCAATTACATACTAATTGTAATCTCCACTCACTAACTTCTGGTTAGAAGGCCAGTGCCTATTCTACAGTGCCACACCAAGACTCCGAATTTTTTTTTTAATTTTAATTAATTTAAATTTATATGGTTCTGTACAGTAAGCATTGGACTACGAAGCATAAGGTCAGCGGTTTGAACCTACCAGCTGCTCCATGGGGGAAAGATCAGACTTTCTGCTTCTGTACAGATTTATAGCCTTGTACCCTGTATACCAACAGTAACATGACAGGTGGCTATTGGACAGCATAGCTTTATACAGTCTTCTAAAGAAAGAAGTGCAGTTTTGTGAGTCTGCAGTCCTGCAAACTGTGTGTCATTCATTGGTCAGGTTAGTCCTTGGAGTTTATTCTGGGTATTAGAAGTAACCTCCCTCCATTTCCTTAAAATCTACCCATAGGTTCTGTGTATTTTTTGTAGACTTCTCACTAGTATCTCCTGGGTTTCATGTCACAAATATAATGATTTATTTATCAGTTTACCTATAATCTGTTCATACCCACTAGTTCAGCATTTGGGAGAGTAGATGGACAGTTTAGTTAGACCTTTTCCTCTTCCAATATTATATATTAGCATAATTATTATACAGTCCTGATTGAATTCCAAGGACAAGCATAATTCCACTGCTAACTTCCATCCACTTGTACAGGATTAGTTAGAAAATATTGCTAGAAACTCACAGAAACCTTTAGTAAGCAAAAATACCAAACTTTGAAGCATAGTCTCCGTCTAGGTCTATGCACTACAGAAAGCAGTGTTTCCATGTGTCTCTAACACTTCCCTGAAGAATTCCCTGCTGTTGAACTTGCACCATGTAAAAATGAGTTTTGGTATTCTCAAGGGACTCAGATTCTGTTCCTTTTAAATGTCTTTGAGGTCTGAAAGGGCAAGGTCAGGGATGTCGACTGGATTGGGTAAGGTTTCCCAACAAAAGTCTCAAAAGTACAGCCTTCCCTTAAAGAATCCAGATCAGTCAAGGCTGATCCTTAGGAGATGGAGGACAGACAGACAGACCTTCACTCTCCAACCTTTTACCAATTCTGCTACCAGCCACCTCTGTCACACACTCTCCACTTGTCTTTTGGGTTTGTTAATCCATTGCAATGACCACACAGACCATACTTACAGCTAAGTGGTTTATTAAGGAGCAGGGTGCAACTGGGAATCAGTTTCAACATGCGACAACTTAGAAATCCGGATCAGGAATCACACAGGCGGAATCTTCCTTTTTCAGTTCAGGATGGCTCTCTCAGCTAGGCCTTCTCCCATTTCCCTGAGATCAGGCTCATCCTGTCCCCTGAGGACAGGCTCCGCTAGACCCTAACTATCTGTCACCACCGGCTCTTACTGCTGGGACTCTTTTGGGTCTCTTTCTGTCACCAGTGTTCCAGCCACTGACCTGTGTTACAGTTCTTTTAGGAAGGTCATGTCTCCTCCTGCCCTCGACTTCTCCCTTTCTCCCTTTTGCTTCTTCCTGCTTCTTCTCTTCCTGCTTCATCCTTCTTGGAAACCTCTATAGGGCTGCTCTCTGTATGCACAATTCCCAGTCAATTTCAAGTCAGACCACCCCTCCCATGGGGGCCACAAACGGATCAATCCCCTCTACATATTTGCAGAGTAGGTGTGGCTGGGCTACAATTTACCTCCTTTACAGAATATATTAACCAATCCCTGCAATGTGCAAATTATTGCCCAGAGTCAAAGACAAAGATTCAAAACCAGGTTGTTTACTACAGCGTGCCCAGGAATTGTCAACTTGTCAACCAACCGGAACAAAGGTAACAGACCCTCTTGGGTAGAAACCTAGGCAAAAAGATAACTCCTCAGAGTTTAGGGCAAAAATCTCTAGAGCTGTTTTTCTAGAACCCAGGCAAAAGGCCACAAAAAGGAACTAATTTCACCACAAGCACCTTTTATCCTCAGACCATACTTAGAAAAATTACCTTATTTTGCCTAATAGAAAATGAAGGCTCTAGGTTAATCAATTGTTAAACGTCATGTAACTTGTTAGCTCGATACAGAGTTGGAATTCAAACTTAACCTCTGCCTGAATCCCAAAGCCTATGTTATTTCTACAATTCCACGTAAGTGCATTTGATTCTCTTCCACTTGCCTGAATCCTTAACTTCCCTTTTCCCTCAATCAGTAACATGAGTGAATTTCCTTCTCTCTTTTGCTGAATGGCATCATACTATCATTGTCTTCTCAATATTTTTCTACTCTGGTCATAGTGAGTGTTTATTCCCTTCTCTGTGCTTTCCTCAGACTACTACTTCATATGGAGTATTCGTCTGCCTAAGTCCAGAATATTCTTTTTTTTTTTTTTTTTTTTCCCCCTTAGGAAAGTGGCTGGCGTTCCAGGCACCTCAGATCCCTCTCATGTTGGAAAATGTCCAGTCTTCTCCTAGCCACTTCTTTAACTACCGTTACATTAGTTATTGTATAAAGCTGCCATTTTCCTGGAGTAGAGAAAAAGTATATTCTTGGTAAGAGGAATATAAGGGCCCTGGGTAATGATACAAGAGAGGAGATTCTAAGACAATGGGGGAGGGAACAGAAATAGTTGTGCTTTTGCAGAAAGAATGAAAAACAGTCTGGACCTGTCAGAGGATAAGTGGACAAAGCCCTCTCAGTCTTGGGCTGAGTTACAGGCTCAAGAAAGAGAAAAATCATGGCTGTACACAGGAGGGACTGTTAGAGATGGGGGCTTTCCTTGGGTGGAACGTACATTGGTATAAAGGTATAGATGCATAATCTGTTTTTTCATTTTATTCTTGCAACAGTGAGAAACTGTTATGGGAAGGACTGTGTCACCTAAAACTGCTAATGTGTGTGTCCTAAAATAATCTCAAATCATATCAAAACATATGAATTCTGTTACTGAAATAATCACTATATTCTAGGAACCGGACCATAGTCTTGAAAACCAAGCTGTTATTCTCAGGAATGTTTCTTTTACTAACCTTGTAAATTTTGATCTTTTTTTTCCCCTGACATTTGATACTACTATGTCACATTAACAAGTCTTTCATTTTGCACCATAGTGAATCATTGGACACACATTTAGCCTCTCCAAGTTTAAAAAAGGAAGAAGGACTTGTGTCACAGACATTTTTCCCCCTCTGCTAGGTGCTGGGCACATAGTCATAGATTCTATATAGTTTTGATTATTGACTGATTTGTGGGATGAATATGAATATGAATAGGGGTTTCTTCTTTTCCCTCTTTTTGAGATCATCTTTATAACTTTTGGTTTTTTTCCCTGCCTTACCTCAACAAACACATACATTTGTATATATTTGTTGTTGTTATTCTTAAGTGCTGTCGAGTCAGTTCCAATCCATAGCGACCCTGTGTAGGGTTTCTGAAGAGCAACTGTTAAGCTTGAACTGCTGACCTTGTGGTTCAAACCGACTTTATAGTCCAGTGCATTAATCCACAGTGCCACACCAAGACTCATTTGTTGTAGACATCAGTTTCTTCTCAGTGATGAGAAACACGGACCTCTAGATATCTTTTAGATACTGAGAAAAACAATCCAACTAACAACAAATGTCCTAGGCACTAGATACAACAATAAGAAAAATAAAGGAGCAATTATTAATCACTTCTTTCATGGAGTTTTCAATCTCATGAATATCAATGCAGGAATGATAGACTTTAAACTTTGTGGGGGTTGTGGGGGTGGTTATGTGCCGTGGACTCTGTTCCAACTCATAACGACCCTGTATAGGGTTTCTCAGGCTGTAAATCTTTAAGGATGCAGAAAGCCTCATCTTTCTCCTGTGAAGTGGCTAGTAGATTAAAACTACTTACCTTGCATTTAGCAGTCTAACTCATAACCCACTACACTATGAGAGCTCCTCTTTCAAGACTAGAGGAAAGGAAAGTGTGATTATAATTAGTCAGTCACCCTCAGTTCCTTATCTTGCTGTAACTTAGCTTTATCTGCATTTTTCCTACTTTACTGATCACTACTTTCCCATCCCCAGCACATACATTGATTCTCTTCATCTTTTGTGCTTGCTTTGTATTCAGAGCCATGTACTTTCCCCGTTATTTCCTCCTTATGAAATTTTCTTCGTAACTTGTATAACAGTTTTAGTTCTCATAACAAAGGAAAAAGAAAACATTTGCTGTCGTGTTATTTTTCAGACTGGGAGTCTTGGTGTGAAATCAAGGAAATATCTCCAAAATGCTACCTTGATGAAGAAGAAATATCTCAGGGAATGGCAACAGAAAAGCTTACAAGCCATGACTTTGAGTGCTCCAATGTGAAAGAAGCCTGGAATTATGAGGGTGAATTTGAGCAGCATCAGGGAAATCAGGAGAGATATTTCAGGCAAGTGACAACTGTTAAGGAAATCTCTACAGGGCAAAGGGACCATAAAGATAGTAATTCTAGGGGAAACATCCCCCTGAAGCCCATACCTTTAACACAACAGAGAGTCCTTATGGAAGAACAAATACATAAATTTGATATTTATGAGAAAATCTTCCCCCAAAATTCAGTCATAATTAAACATACAAGACTCCATGCTAAAAAAGAATCTTTGATAGATAAAGAATGTGAAAAAGAATTCAACCAGAGTATGCACCTTACAAAAGAGAAACGGATTCCTTCTGGTGAGAAATCTTATGAAAGTAATGAGTTTTCAAATCTCTTAAGTTTTCATTCATTACTTACTCAAAATCAGACTACACAACTTGAAAAATTACCCCATGGATACAATAAGTGTGATGATACCTTTCGCTGTTACTCATTTTTTACTCAACCTCAGAGAAATCACAATGGAACAAAGCAATATGCATGCAGTAGCTGCGGAAAAGCCTTTAGCCATGATTTTTTTCTCAGCAAACATCAGAGAACTCATATTGGAGAGAAACCGTTTGAATGTAAAGAATGTAGCAAAGCCTTCAGACAAAGTGCACACCTTGCCCAGCATCAGAGAGTCCACACTGGAGAGAAACCCTTTTCATGCAATGAATGCGGGAAGGCCTTTAGCCGTTATGCTTTCCTTGTTGAACATCAGAGAATTCACACGGGAGAGAAACCCTATGAATGTAAGGAATGTAACAAAGCCTTCAGACAGAGTGCACACCTTAATCAACACCAGAGAATCCACACTGGAGAGAAACCCTACGAATGTAATCAATGTGGAAAAGCCTTCAACAGACGCATAGCCCTTACTCTACACCAAAGAACTCATACAGGAGAGAAACCCTTCAAGTGTAATGAATGTGGGAAGACCTTTGGCTATCGCTCACACCTAAACCAACACCAGAGAATTCATAGTGGAGAAAAGCCCTATGAGTGCAGCAAATGTGGGAAGTTTTTTAGAACTCACTCACAGCTGAATCGGCATCATAGAATTCATACTGGAGAGAGACCATTTGAATGCAGTAAATGTGGGAAAGCCTTTAGTGATGCGTTAGTCCTAATTCACCATAAGAGAAGTCATGCAGGAGAGAAACCCTATGAATGTAACAAATGTGGGAAGGCCTTTAGTTGTGGCTCATACCTTAATCAGCATCAGAGAATTCACACTGGAGAGAAACCCTATGAATGTAATAAATGTGGGAAGGCTTTCCATCAGATCTTGTCCCTCAGGCTACACCAGAGAATTCATGCTGGAGAAAAACTCTGCAAGTGTAATGAATGTGGGAATCATTTCAGCTGTGCCTCAGCCCTAAGGCGACATCAGAGAATGCACAATAGAGAAACCTTTTGATTATAAAAAATATATAAGAAAGAACACATTTAGTCTCTACTCTTTATTGAATATCATTTCATTATTTTAGGATCGTAATTCTATGAACATAGTATATATGAGAAAGTCTTCAGCCCATGTACTCTCCTTATTTGAAATATAGTGGAAATCTGAGTAGTGGACATGTACGTTTATCTGTACCCCATAGTCTGCTTACCCCATACCCACTGCCTGTGATTTTGATGAAACTGTTAATCATGGAGAAACAGTGGATTGGTCACAGGCTGGCCTATGATTAATAAGGAGTTGGAAAATAGCCTTGTCTGCGTCAATATAGTCCTTTAAGGTATTGTTATGGTTATTAAGAGAGGTGATTATATATTTTTCCAGAATTGCTACCTGTAAGGATCAAGTAAGATTAAAAGTAACCATCTTATTTCTGCCACTACTTTAAGAAATCCTTTCCAAAACTAAATGTGACACAGGACAATGAAGATGAGAGCCAGAAATCTGATGAGTTTTATCTCTTAGGTCCAGCCATGTTGACATCTACAGCTTTCATTATTTTTTCACTTTGTTGTTGTTGTGTTGTTAAGTGCTGTCAAGTCGGTTCTGACTCAGAGTGACCCTGTATAGGGTTTCTCAGGAGCAGCTGCTGGGTTTGAACTGCTGACCTTGTGGTTCGCAGTTCAGTGCATGATGGACATTTTTATCTTTATGAGTCAATAAATACCCCCAGTTTTTTCTTTTTTTTAATTGGAATTGTATTTTTAGCTCTCAGAATTTTTTCTTTTTCTTTATTGGAATTGTATTTTTAGCTCTCAGAATTAGAGCCCTGACTTAGACATCTTGTATTTGCTATATTTGTTGTTGTTTTTGTTAAGTGCCATCGAGTCAGTTCTGAATCATAGGGCTTTTAAGGAGCGACTTGTGAGTTTTGAACCACTGACCTTGCAGTTCAGACTGACTTCCTACAGCATCTAGAAAACCTTAATTTTATAAGGTATAATTGTTGATATTGAGGTGAAACACTGTAATATAACAAGTCAATGAAAAACATAACAACCTCATAAAGCTGAGATGAACAATGAATAAGGAAGACTTAAGAATTGATGCCTTTAAATTAGGATGTTGGTGAAGAATATTGACTATACCATGGCCTTGTCATAAGAACAAACAAATCTGCCTTTGCAGAAGTACAGCCAGAATGACCCTTTGAAATAAGGATGGTAAAACTTTGTCTCCTGTTCTTTGGACATGTTATCAGGAGGGACCAGTTCCTGGAGAAGGACATCATACTTGGTAAAGTAAGGGTCAGCAAAAAAGAGGAAGCCCCTCAATGAGATAAGATGGACACACTGACTGTGAGAGTGGGCTCACATATTTTGATATTAGTGCAGGACAGGGTCGTGTTTCATTCTGTTGGGCATAGGGTCATGGAGTCAGAACCTACTCAGAGCACCTAGCAACCACATATGTTGCTAAAAATTCATTTGTATTTATTAGTCTGTTTCACAATCAAGATAAACATTTTTTAATTCAATTAGTAAACATCATTAGCAGGCTGTCTCCTAAGGAGTTAAAACTTTTCACAGAAGTTACTCACCATAAGTCTTTAAAGAGGAAATGCTAAAGCTAAGAGAATAGTGGCTCTATCAGTTGAATGATGCTTCATCTTAAAGAATTTGATGTTTGGCTTTCAGTGTTGGTTTAAACACATTGTGTGGTAGACTGTAATAAGATAGAATTGTAAATTAGGTTTTTGGTGAGTGAGCTATAAGTCAGGTATAAGAAACTTATGGATAATTTCTGTGGAATTAAAGATGTTAGATACAGACAGTCTTGGCAGACTGAAAACATCAGCCATTTTCCAATGGTCAAAGTTAGGCATTTAGAGCCTAAAATATTTAGAGAATTAATCATTGCCATTCTTCAGAGGACTGAGAAACAAGAGGGTAAGAGGCAGTATATTCCTGTCTTATTTGAATAACTGTAAGGACATACACTTGGTGATCTGGAAACTTAGCTACCTTGAACATTTAGAACCAGTTAGAGTCTTGAGCATTGTCTAAAAAACTATCTAAAAAACATAACTAATTAGGAAAGAATGAAGGGTCTGCATGAGCGACTGCTACTTTCACAATTTATTTAATACATTCAAACAGCTAATAAATTTGAAAATTTTTCAATATTATAGGTAAATAAACTATAGATATAGTATGACTCAATACTTCAAACGTGAACAGTAATAAATGTGATTATAAAACATTACCAAATATTTCACATTAAATCTAAAATACTATAGTATTACATAACATTTATATAATTTATTTTTTCTTTTATTTCCTGGAGGCATAGGAATAGTTTCAGTTGAATCTTCATAATTTGCAGATTCCATATTTGAAAATTCAACTACTCACTAAGATATATTTGTGACCTAAACATCAATATTTACAGCATTTTCGTGGTCATTTGTGACCACATACAAGGAAGGCAGTGAAAAATTTGAGTCATCTGACATTTACCTTTCCAGATGAGGTCAAGCAAAGTGACACTCTCTGCCTTGTTTGAGCTCTCATACAGTAACAAATGTCCTTTTTGCAGTCGATTTAGTGCCCAAATTTTCACATTTTCTTGTGTGTTTTGTTGGTGCTTTCATTATTTAAAATGTCCCCCAAGCACAGTGCTGATGTATTGCCTAGTATGAAGCACAAGAAGGCTGTGATGTGCCTTATGGAGAAAATATGTTGACATAAGTCCAAGCCACTGGTTGATGAGATGCTTTTACGGATAAACCTAACTTGTAATGTCAATAAAATCTTTTACACCCATGCCTTTAACATACCTGTTTGTATTTTGCAATATGGTGTTTCTCCTCACAATGTGGTACTAAATTTTGTTTATGTGTAATTTATACAACCCATGGCTTGTTATAAATTGGCTTGATTTTAACTATGAGATACTCATAAAGTACACATTACTTAAAATGTTCTGAGAACCAGCTAGAGATTTCCTGTTCTAGGAGATGAAGGTTTGAATCAGCAGTTAGTTGTCTTTAGGACACAGACTAAGGAGCTCTGGTAGCGTAGTGGTTACGAATCGGGCTGCGAACCTCAAGGTCAGCAGTTCTAAACTACCAGCTGTTCCATGGGAGAAAGATGAGGCTTTCTGCTCCCATAAAGATTTACAGCCTCAGAAATCCTGTACAAGACAACTATGCGTTGGAACCGACTCCAAGGCACATAACAACAACAACATGGCCTTTCGGAAGCTGAATGAACTGCTGAAACTATTGTCCTGAGATAATGTTTAAACCTTAAACGACAAACACTTCCTGGAGTCATCTTAAAACTGAATTATACCTTAACTAGTAAAAAAATGTCTGCCTCAAACATTATGTTCTTTGAAGAACATCTATATGAGATCAAATTGACGATGACAAAAGATTATATAGGAACCTTAGAGGGAAGTGAGGTTATGTTAATGACAGAGGACAACTCAGGAATGGAGAATAGTTGTACAACTTGGAGAATGGCATCAGCATCATTAGCTGTCCATGTAGAAAGTGCTGAATTATATTATCAACAAAAGAAAATTTAGGGGCAAAAATGAGCTGAGGAGAAAAGTTCCCATGGACGTAAATGAATTGAAGACTTCTTGATAAAGCACCCTCTAGTCGGTTCTGACCCATAGTGACCCTGTGTAGGATTTCCAAGGAGCAGCTAGCTGATGAACTTGAACAGCTGACCTTGTGGCTCAAGCTGGCCTTGCAGTCCAGCCATTAACCCACAGTGACATACCAGGACTCCAAAAGACTAGTAACTAAGCTTAAAACAGAGGTGTACTGGGGAGAGGGAGACACTTACCCCTGGATGCAAGTCCAAGGGGGCACCAGACAGGCAGTAAAGGACTTTCCAAATATCTACAAATATGAAAGTCTTCTGACTGAGGCAGTAGCTGTATTCTGAGCTTTTGGGTTTAAATATCTCATCTTTTAGGTCAAATCATAAAACTAGTAACTGTGCTGGATCTTTACATATCTGAGACGAGCAAATCATTTCAGTGTAGTTAAAAAATTTTTTTTTCTTTCTATGAATGAGTTTGAACATGTTTTCTGTGAACTGTCTATATTTTGCTAATGTCAAATTGGATGTAGTATTTTTATTACATAGTAGGGAAATTAGTACTTCATAATGTGTTTTGCAAATATTGTCTTCCAGTTTAATCATTTATCTTCTGATTTTATCATGATTCTTTCCTGCCATGCACAATTGGTTTTTGTTTTACATTTCTCCATATTGCTTGGGTCCAGACTCTTTCCAAGAATGTTTGTGTAATAAATACTGTTGGAAGACAAGATTTAGTATTTCCCTCTGGCTCAAAGGACAGGAATTCTTACTGTCTATTATGAAATATTCAGGTTTCCTAAACTCAAGTCTCCTCTCCTGCCATGTAAGCTGCTACATATGCTAGGTTTAAACAGCCCCTCTTCATGCCACATTGGGAAATAAGTGCAGGAAAAATGATGATATTTTTGATGCTGCTATTGCTGTGTTTGTCTCTGACCCAGGAGTCTCGTGTCTTCTGCCAACGTCCATGAAACTGGGCAGGTTGACATTTTAGCTTTCATCTAGTGTAAAATCTCAGACCCTTCACAGTTCTTGACATTAATTTAGATGAGTCTTAGTGTGGCATTGCAGGATAAGCAGTGGACAACAAGATCCATTTGAACCCCAGTGTCAGTGGTTCAAGCTCCTCGGAAAACCTAGAGAGGGCTGCTGTAAGTCGGCACCAACTCGACGGCACTTAACAACAACAACATGAAGACTACTTATTTCTAAAGGTCACTTTTTTATTCCATGCTGTATTGAATTATCTTTTTTTTTTTTTAACAGTTTCTCAACTATTTCTTAAAGTTTCTAAATATATAATCATTTCCTTCAGATCACAAGCATCTGATTTTTATTCCTCTCATTATTTTGGTTTTGACTAATTGCATCAGTTGGTACAACAAGAAAACAAATAATACATCATTTGTATTAAATGCAGACTTGTATTATTTGTATTTGTATTACTTGAATCTGAGGGAACCTCTTCATATCCTCCGTGGGCAGCTCTCCTCTCCATTGATTTAAATTGCCCTTTATTGGGATATGAAGAGGAAGGGGGCACATTTGGGCAAGGC